GGCCCCGGCCTCCCCGGGCGCGACCTTGGGCGGAGCGCTCGGCCTCGGCCGCCCCCGTGACCGCCGTGGGGGCGATGTGCCCGCTTCACCTGCCTGCCCCCGGGCTTTGCAGTGCCCTGCTGTGGCCTTTTTCTTTTTTTCTTTTTTAATATTAGACCAATATTTTGACGCTTTGATAGTCCAGAGAGTATTTTCGCAGGTTCTTTTGTGGTCTTAGGACTTCACTATTCTTGCGAGTTAGGCACTGCTGTGACTCACTTAAATACTTTCGACTTAGAAGAAGCTGTCATAGTATCAGGCTTTAAAGAAAAACGACTCGACGTTAACTTGTTAGAAATCTGCCTGTAGTCTTACTTGCCCGGCAATGCGCTTTGCTGGTGTTATTTTTAAAGCGCTGAACACAGACCTCTCCCAAAACTGGGATCATGTAATTTTTTAATGTGTTTCAAGATTTAATTTGAGCCTAGTGAGAATGCAGGCGTATTTGGCATGTCTCTTGTTACAAATCTGTAAATCGAGTACCTGAAGTCTACTGTTCTGTTGGGGTCGGTTTGCTCATATTTATTTGAAAAAAAAAAAAACCCAAACAAAACAAAAAACACCACAAGAATTTTCATAAGTGGCTTTTGAACACATTTTAATAATACAAGCCAACATACGTTACTTGTAGGAACAAATATTTACATATTATTCTCCAAAACAAGGAGATCATCTGTGTCAAATACCTATTTTCAATTTGCTGAATTAAGGTGTGATTACTTTCCAACTCATGAGACTACTTAAAAATATTTTTTCTTCCTTCTCCTCCCTTGCTTTCTTAGACGTATACTTTAAAGAAGATTAGAGTGTCTTATGAGAGAATTAATAGATCAAGGTATCATCTGTTTAGGAAATTAAATACAGTTTATTTTTCCTGCTGGCAGGTATGGTGGAAGAATAACAATAATTTATACTTGTTGAGAGAGACTCATTATGTTGGTTATGTATTTAAACAAATAAAGCCTCTATATTTCTGTATTTCATCACCCTACACTTTTGTTTTGTTTTCCTGTTTGTAAAATTAAAGGCTTGCACAGGAGAAAGATCTGCAGCTGCCTGAAGCGTTGTAAAACAACCAACCACCAAAACCCAAACAAAACCCCCAAAACCTTTAGCTAG